TTTTTCACGCTTTGATTGATCGGTAGAACTCAGTAGGGCAAGAGGGTTGCTCAAAGTTCCCTGGAAAACCGGTTTTCAGTTTCTTCCAAGGTCGGAATTTATGTCCCACAATCAATCAAGGGGGGAGAGGAGCGAGTCCACGCAGTACAGAAGAACCGGCCGATCAGTGAGCTCCAATCAGCAGCGACAGTTCTCAGGCATCGCCGCCACTAAGGGCGGTGGTGGCTCCTCCGCCCCTACAAACCCTCCGAACCGCAGGTTCGCCTTATATGCCTACTAAGAGAATAGTCTTGTTTGTTGAATTTGTGCGAGTTTGGCTAAATGTATATTTCATGTGTTGTTCGATTGACTGATGATGGGGTGGGCATGGATGATCATTCGTTTGTGTGCGACCTAGGGTTTTATTTTTTCCTGCGTTGTATGTTTGAATAACGGATGGAATTGTATTAGTTAGTTATACTTTTTGGTTTTTATGGAATGCAGTTTTAAGAAGTATAATAGCAATGCTCCAGTAGGGCAGCTGAATGAGAGGAGCCCTAATCTGGACAATAGCAATTTGCCTGCAGCTCGTTCTGTAGAGAATGGTGCTTACCAACAGCAGCCAACTCAGAGTACGTGAATTTTTTATCCATCTCTTTCTCCTGGCCAATATCATCCTTTCCCCCCTTTGTTCAAGGGTTTGAATTTGGGCCATTTTTATTGTTTCGGATGAAAATTTGAGAAAAAAATTGAGCGGAGTATGTTATTTTAAGTTGCTAGCTTTGTTTTTATTGGTAACTTTTCTTAATTTGGATTTAAACGTGCCTCGTTCTAGGAGTGTCGGATGCACCAGTCATCAGTAACACTCCCAATGTCGAGCCATTGGATGCCCCAACTCAAAATTTCGCTCGAGCTGTTCCTAGAGCTCCATCATCTAATGTTTCCTCTGCAGCTATACCATCTAATGTTTCTGGTGCTAGCTCTGAGTCCGGTGCTCCAAAAACACCAGAGAAAGGTATACCATTTGCAAAGTTCATTTATTTTAAACCATGGGAAAAAAAAAATTGAATTATAAGTATTAATATAAAATGGTGAAGGTATCATCTTTCTGATAGCTGATGTTCATTATTTCTATTGTTGTTTCCTTGGATCCAGGAGACTCATCTAAGTCATTTCCGCTGCAGTTTGGGTCCATTAGTCCTGGATTTATGAATGGAATGCAGGTAAATCACATTTTCATGACTTTTTAAGTATTACTCTATCTCATATATTGTCTCTATTGTCCTTGAACAGTCAGGATAAAAGTTATGTTTTGGTTTTGTTTGTAGATACCTGCTCGAACAAGCTCCGCACCACCAAATTTGGATGAGCAGAGAAAAGCCAAGGTTGGGGGTTCTATTCTATGCAGTTGCTAACTTGGTATTTGAAGTACTAAAGCATATATTTTACATTGGTTCTTGATAATATGATACTTTGAACTATGTCGACATTTTGATTGGATCGGGAAGTAAATAATAAGTATCAAGGGAATTAAAACTTACCTTTCATGTTGTGGGTGTCCTTTCATTAGGATGATGGAGGAGGTGCAACACGTTAAAACGAACGGATAATGTTGCTTTTCGTCATTGTTACCTTTCGGCAGGATAATCATCTAACATATGTATGACCTTTTTGACTGAGAAGTACCAATAATCTGACTTCATGATATCATGTGACAGGCCCGTCATGAGTCTTTACGAACTGCTCCTGCAGCTCAAGTTCCATCTGACCCTAATCAGCACTTGGCGAAAAAGATTGGTCCACCTAGTACCGGTGAAACTCAGCAAGCTCCCAAACACAAGAGGGATCCCCAAGTTGTAGCTGGAAAACCTGTCGCTCAAGCTCAGAAGCCTTCCATGCATCCTAATATGACTGGCATACCCATGCAACTGCCTTTTCACCAGCCACAGGTTCCTGTGCAATTAGGTGGCCCAAACCCACAACTTCAGTCCCAAACCATGCCGGGGACCTCATTGCCAATGCCGATGCCCTTACCACATGGCAATCAACCATTGCAGCATTCAATGTTTGTTCCAGGTCTCCAGCCACACCCTATGCAGTCCCAAGGAATGATGCATCAGGGTCAGAGCTTCAACTTTTCATCACAAATGGGTCCTCAACTACCTCCTCAGATGGGCAGTATTGGAATGAATATGCCCCCACAGTTTTCTCCGCAACCTCCTGTAAAATACAGTGGTTTGCGGAAAACAGTAAAAATTACTCACCCCGATACTCATGAGGAGTTAAAGCTCGACAGTTCACCCAACCCAAGGTTACATCACAATGTGCAGTCCCAGACACAGCCTATTTCCTCATTTCCTTCTAATATGCCTATGAACTTCTATCCAAATTCTTATAATGCCTCGTCCATCTTTTTTCCGCCCACGGCCTCTGTTCCCCTCAGTAACACTCAAGTTCCGTCCACTTCGCAGCCGCCAAGGCTCTATAACCAGGTTTATTGACTGCTTTCTTTGAGATCATTATTAATTAAAGTTTTATCAATCTGAATTCTGACAGTCAGATGGATTTAGCTTAACACTTTGTTTTCTGCAGGTAACAGTGAAACCACCCATTAGCTCCTATGGGGACAAGGAGCCGCTGCCACCCACAAGTTCAGTTGTTGGAAAGTCAGAATCTTCAAAATCTTCAAGGTTACAGGGTGAAGATCTTCCTAAGGAAGCTAACACTTTGTCATCGAGCTCTTTGCAACAGGCAAAGCCTAGTTTCAGAGCATCTCCTGCTTCGGCTGCCTCTGCAGGTCCTGCCATTACGGAGAGAAATGGAGCCCACGTTTCAGCCTCTGCACCCATGGAAGGGTCCACATCAGCTTCAACAAGCTCCTCTATGGATGTTCGAGTCGGATTGGTTGTGCCTGATCCTGTCGAAGATATGCATAAAAGAATAAGCAGTACAGGCCAGCCGGACCAGGTAATTCATGGATTTTCTTTTAGGCCTAGTTGGAAACTTTGAGCATAGCTTCCATGACTTATGAGCATGAAGTTTAATTTCATTTCAGGTGGGTGGCCTGTCGACCTCTGTGTCAAGTGTGCCTTCTCAACTCCCCAAGGCTGAGGAAAAATCTATTTCCTCAGGATCTATTGTGGTATCTGAAGGTAAAGAATCAAAGCCTCAGACAGTTGGTGAGGATGAACAAAGAAATGCCACATCTGAAGGTTGGAAACATTGTGACCATAGCCTGGAAACATCTTTGAGGTCTATTTCTTTAGAAAGTCCCAAAATCACAGGTACAGTGGAGGAGCCCTCTGATCAAGAGGTTACAACCTCCAGTTCTGATACTTTGGAAAAATCACAAGAAGAACAAGAAGGAGATGATGTTAAGGTGAAGGTTAACCTGGCTGCACCTACTCACTCATCAGTTGGTCTGAATACTGAGAGTGCTGTTTCAGCTATTCATTTACCCGTGCGGGATGATATAGATTATTCAAATAAGTCATTTAGTGTACCTCAAAAGATTAATGACCCAGGAGAAATATCCGTTGAAAAGTATTCTGAACAGGAGCCTGCACCGGTTTCAGTTCCATCTTTTCCCGAGGATGCTTTGAAATCTGAAAATGAAGAAATTGTCAGTACCAGTGGTCAATTGGTCTCCCCTTCTCCATCCATTTGCAAGGATAAAGTTGGAACTGATGCCGATGTAGCAAAAAGTGCTGTGCCCAGAGGTAAGAAGAAAAAGAAAGATTTATATAAAAAGGCAGAGGCTGCTGGTCCAAGTTCTGATCTTTATATGGCATACAAGGGTCCCAAGGAAAAGAAAGAAAGTGTAAATCAGGCAGAGGGCTCAGAAAACTCTTTAAGTGTTGGTGAGAAGCAGAAATGTACCGATGTCCCAGAGAACACTGTGCCACTTCATCAACCTTCTCAGAGTAAAGTTGAGCCAGATGATTGGGAAGATGCTGCTGAAATCTCTACTCAGTTGGAGACTTCCGAGAATGAAAATCAGCATGATGTTAGTGACAATGAATTATCAACTAAAAAGTACTCACGGGATTTCCTACTCAAATTTGTGGAGCTGTGCACTGATCTTCCGGATGGTTTTGTAATTACGGCCGACATTGCAGATTCACTAGTGGTTTCCAGTCTTAAAGCATTGCGCGAAACACACCCTAGCCCAGTACGTGATACTGAAAGGCACGGTGGAGGATCTAGAGTAGATCGTCGTGCAAGTGGCTTGGGAGATGAGGATAAATGGAGTAAATATCCTGGTCCTTTAATGCCTGGGGTGCAGGGAGATATGTGGATGAACCCTGGGTATGTAAATAATGTTGTTGGCTTTCGACCTGGGCAAGGAGGTAATTATGGTGCTCTTCGTAATCCCCGTGCTCAGGCAGCTGTCCAGTATGCTGGCGGCATACTAGCTGGGCCGATGCAGTTCTTTGGTCCTCAGAGTGGATTGCAAAGAAATAATTCCGATTCTGATAGGTGGCAGCGTGCAACTGGATTTCAGAAGGGATTGATGCCGTCTCCTCATACACCAATGCAGGTGATGCACAAAGCTGAAAAGAAGTATGAGGTGGGTAAGGCTACTGACGAAGAAGAATTGAAACAGAGGCAGCTCAAGGGCATCTTGAACAAACTTACCCCTCAGAATTTCGAAAAACTGTTCCAACAGGTGAAAGAAGTGAATATCGACAACGTTATTACCCTGTCTGGGGTTATTTCACAGATTTTTGATAAAGCCCTGATGGAGCCCACTTTCTGCGAAATGTATGCCAACTTCTGCTTTCACCTGGCTCAAGATTTACCGGACCTGACTGTGGAGGGTGAAAAAATTACTTTCAAAAGGTTATTGTTGAATAAATGTCAGGAGGAGTTTGAAAGGGGAGAAAGAGAGGAACAAGAGGCAAATAAGGTTGAGGAAGAAGGTGAAGTCAAACAGACAGCAGAGGAAAGAGAGGATAAGAGACTCAAAGCACGAAGACGCATGTTAGGCAATATTAGGCTCATCGGAGAGCTGTACAAGAAGAGAATGTTGACCGAGAGAATAATGCATGAGTGCATCAATAAGCTGTTGGGCGAGTACCATAATCCTGATGAGGAGAACATTGAAGCTCTGTGTAAATTGATGAGCACAATAGGGGAGATGATTGATCATGCAAAAGCGAAGGGACATATAGATGCATTATTCAACATCATGGCACAGTTATCCAATAACATGAAGCTCTCTTCCCGAGTGAGATTCATGCTGAAGGATGCTATTGACCTGAGGAAGAACAAGTGGCAGCAGAGGAGGAAAGTGGAAGGCCCAAAAAAGATCGAGGAGGTGCACAGGGATGCTGCTCAAGAGCGTCATGCTCAGACTAGTAGGCTTTCCCGTGCTCCCAGTATTGGTAATCCTGCTAGGCGGGGCCCGCCGCCTATGGAATTTTCTTCTAGATCTCCTAGTATGTTATCTTCGCCTGGTCCTCAGTTGAGTGGTTTACGTGGTGTACCCCCACATCTACGTGGAGGTTATGGGACTCAGGATGCCAGGGTGAATGAAAGACATGCATCTGAGAATGCTAGGACCATGCCCATTCCTCTGCCCCAAAGATCCCTTGGTGATGATGTTATTACTCTTGGGCCTCAAGGTGGTCTTGCTAGGGGAATGGCTTTCAGAGGACAGCCTAATATTTCTTTGGCTGAGATGCCAAATGCAGGGGATGCTCGGAGGTTTGGGTCTGGTCAAAATGGCTTCAGTTCCATTCCACAAAGGTCAACTTATGGCCAAAGGGAGGATGTTGTACCTAAATATATGCCCGACAATTTTTCTGCTCAAAGTTACGACCAGTCTCATCCTCAGGAGCGGGATATTGCATTTGGAAATCGTGAGGTTGGGAATCCTTATCGTACCCTTGATAGATCTCTTCCTACTTCTCCACGTGCCCGAGGTGGGCAATTGGTCAGTACTCAAAACTTGTCTTCTGACAAGGTGTGGCCAGAAGAGTATTTGCGAGATAAGTCCATGGCTACTATTAAAGAATTCTACAGGTATTTCTTTGAGCCATGGTTTTTATTTTATGTTGTAAGCACTAAGCAGTGTTATCAGGTGACAGCCATGTGGTATGGCGTGGTGTTCTGCCAAACCGCCATGCTAAATTTTTTGATGGATGTCGATAATGACGTGGCTGTCTCTATGGTGGGATTTTGGCCTCCCGCCATTTACCGCCATCTGCCATTAATAACACTGGTTGTAGAACTCTCAAACTGATTTCATATTTCGGAACTTTGTACTAGGTAGGAGCTGTGGAGAGTCCTGTGTGTGAATGGTGAAAAAATGATTGTGTAGACCTAGCATGTGCACACGCGCACTTCCGCTCTCTAGTTGCCCCACATTTTAAACTAGCAGGATGAGTTTTCCATTATCTTTTCCTTTTTATTTTGGTGTTCCTAATGTCTAATCTTTTAATACCAAAATTTCAATATACACAGTTTAAATACAAGTTTACCACAATGAATTTGTGAGCAGTATGAGTTGGCCTAATCCAGTTTGCTTCTGAAATCTTATTCACAAAACCAGAGGTTGCCGTGAAATATTTTCTCCTTAATGATGTCACAATTTAAGCTGATGGACGGAATATATTGCATTATGCTAATATGTGTTGTAAAAAGTGAATGCTCAATTTTTTGAGCTAGTTGGTAGAAGCTAAGGACACACAGTTGAATAGAATTTGAGAAAGATGTTTTTGTTAAGCAGCACCTGTTTATGGAACTAGACATTAGTATAACCAAATAAATAAACAACCTGTTGCCCTTTGATGGAGATGGTATATTTGGCCATTTTGTATTTGTGCTCTGGCATCAACTTACTTTCTGTTGCATATGGATTTTTATTGTTTTATAATTTCTTGGACGCTGGGCGTGCATGTGTTGTATGCAATCATGAAATGTTGCTCTGAGATCTGTTCATTCCTGTTGTTTGTTAGTAATAATATCTATATTGGTTGAGATTAACATGGAAAATCTATCCTTTGCCTTCCAGTGCAAGAGATGAGAAGGAGGTGGCTTTGTGCATAAAGGATTTGAATACTCCTAGCTTTCATCCATCGATGATCTCCATCTGGGTTGCTGATTCTTTCGAGAGGAAAGACATGGAGAGAGATTTGTTGACAAAGCTTCTTATCAACCTTACGAAACCTCAAGATGGGATGATAAGTGAAGATCAACTCGTTCAAGGGTATGCTTGTGACTATCGCTGTTTCTTAAAATCAAGGAAATATTATTTAATAATATTACTCTTGCAGTCTAGCTTAATCATAGCAGTCTTACAAAACATAATCAGTTTGTTAAGACGTTTTTTATTTTCTGTAGTGAAGCTATACTTCGACAGTAGTTCTTGTAACTATACAATACCTTTGTTATATATCATCTATTCTGCCTCACAGAATTAATTATTATGTTGATATTGTTTCTTTGCTTTGTCAAAGGTTTGTATCTGTTCTTGAATTGTTGGAGGATGCCGTTAATGACGCCCCTAAAGCAGCGGAGTTCCTCGGCCGCATTTTTGCCGGAATTATATTGGAAAATGTAATTCCACTTTCTACAATCGAGAAATTGATATACGAAGGTGGAGAAGAACCAGGTCGGCTCGTGGAAATCGGGCTTGCGGCTGAAGTCCTTGGCAGTATTTTGGATATTATCAAATCAGAGAAAGGAGATTCCGAACTAAACAAGATTCGCTCGAGCTCTAAGCTGCAGCTGGAAAAGTTCAGGCCTCCAGGCTCCAACAAAGCCTTGAGAATAGACAAGTTTATGTTAGGGATTTAGACAAGATGATGGTGCTCATTGTTTCTGTTTGGTGGAAAAATCATTTCTTGTTTTTGTTCTTTCTTCTTAGGTTCACAGTAAGGCTGCAGATTTTTAAATATATATTTATTGCTGGCCAATGGGGATTTTATACAGGGAACATATTTTCTTCGGTGTTTTGCTCTTTTTTTTTTTTATTTTTTTTTTATTTTTTTTATTTTTGGTGTTAGTAGGTAAAAAACTAAATTCACATTTTTCTATCTCATCATATGGTTAAACTGCTTCATGGATTGTCTATTATTCATCAGAATTGAATTTACTTTCTAACTGACCCAAAAATTAAATAAAATAAAATAGTTATCAGCCAAAATTCTGAACTAATCTAATCTGTTGCCAGTTTTCACATTAATAAATATCTGACCATGCAAGTAATATGGACAGTGTGGACGCTTTGTAATATCACAAATTCACAATACATTCAGTAGGGTGAAATTTACCAATAACAAGTATATGAAAACACGCTGGTAAATATATTTTACATTATGTATATTTTTTATACAAACAATATATCTTATTATAGTAGTAATATCTACATTTTAAAGTATAAGGGACGTGAAAATAAATACTGAAAATAAGAAAAAGAGTAAAGACAATAGGCTCCAATTGCACGGCCTCGCGAGAGGATTCTGATTTCTGATTTACAAAAGCAGCCTAACAAAAGCTTGAAAATGTCAATGGCATTATTATAGAAAACACGCACACACACACACACACTAATTAACATTTTGGCGCCACAAACGTAATTAGTTTGCTACTATGCAAATATCTTGCACAAGAAATCGTTTGAGACCGTCCAAATTGCACAACATATATATACTTTACCGGAAATGCTACGGTCCCGTTATGGTACAATCCCGTCGGGTGTTTTACCGTTGGATACATATGTAGTTAGTATAAGATCATAGCATACGGTCCCGTTACGGTACCAACAGTTAATACACCCGACGAGATGGTACCGTAATAAGACCATAGCATATAATATAAATGACCAACTATTTATATAAAGTGACATGTTGATGTAGCATTGAGAACCCATCAATACATACACCAGGCCGGTTGCCACAAATTTGTATTAACATTTATTACCTCTGCTTACATTAAAACCTGCTTTCCATTTTCCTTTACATTATTAAAACTTGCTTTCCATTCTTAACTACCCAAGACTTCTAAATATCGAAATATGTAACCAAAGGCCACTCACTCAATGAACCAAAGTTAGGTGGGTTTGGTTTATCTAACCCTTGTTTTGATTCTTGGCCGACCTATCTAAATACCCATTTGAGCTAATAAAGAAGGCTTTGAGTGCCTATAACTAGGAAGATTTGACCTGTTGATGTGGGCAATTACGAGCCGTCAGATCACAACACACTAACAGAAATATTTAATTTGGACAACATATGTAAATTAAATGTGTACAGTTACCATAATATAATTCAATTAATCAGATCTATCAAATTTATGATCATTAATAAGGAAGAGTATCAAATTGTTATGGATTTAAAAGTGTAGATACAATAATGGGATATTCTGTTCATTGAGGGATCGAACTGCAAATCAATATTTCTTTTTATTTGGTTATGGCCTCAAACGACGAAGATGTACAAGCAGATTTCGTGTTTTCACCCTTTAAAAGCACTAACCTTCATACTTCAGAAAAACATATGGAAAAGATGCATACATAACATACTACATATGGATACATTTGCTATAAGGCTTCGATCGTTTGGAAGACCATACCAGTCCAACAAGATTATTTAAAAGAACACAACACTCTAGCAATCTAAAGAACAAAAGAATCTCCAGTTCACGAAGTCTGTTACGCTTCGGCATTTATTAGCTTTGATTCTCAATTATTCGATATGAATGTTCCTAGTATTAAAGCGATGTTTTCATTTGCATAACGTTAAATTTCAACAGTGTGTTGATCTAACGGCAGCCAACAGACGTCTACGAATTTCTTCCATCACTTGTCACAAGTTGTAACATTTAGTTGGAGCTCCTTTAAACCCTAGGCCTAGGTTCTTAAAGATATAGCTGACCCAAACAAGGTTTCTTGAGTTTGAAATACAGTACCTTTAATATTGGTTTGGCCGTGAACCTGAAATATTGTGCTGCTGCAAAATTAAATACACGAGAACACGTGATAAGGGCACATGGTGATATTACTTGTCTTCAATCTTGATGGTGAAGGTTGAGTACGAGTTTTCTTGATCAAAGAATATTTACTTGTGAGTTGTGCCACATCGTTTATATAGGGATAATAGACTTAATTTATAAGTCTAATGATCTACTCATTCTTCCACCAATTGGTTTTGGCATAGAACCTTACTTGAACTTCATGATGAGTCGATTTTTTTTAACATTCTTTTAACTTTTTTTTTTTCCAGTATACAATTGAGTGATGATCTCTACCCAAGTTTAAATTAGATTTGGAGTGTGACAGATCATCACAGGATAAAATGTCCTAAAAAATAAAGTTGGAATTTTCATTTATGCACATGATTTACTTGGTACAGAATTTAGTAAGAGAATGGTGTGGCAAATATTCTACTGTTAGTACAAAATGGGTCCATTCATAATGTGAATATATATAATACTCCCCTATTCACGGCTGGGCACATGTTAATATGTCCACCTTTTATGTGACATGAACACACATTGGTGATGTTAATATGTTCAAAAAAATGCATCACCTATGTGTGCATGCCACATAAACGGTGGACATATTAATATGTGTCCACCGTGAGTAGAGGAGCATTATTTGTGATATGAATACCTTTACTTCCCGGCCGACAGTGAAAATCACAGGAATTCAAGACTACTAAATCAAGATGATTACGTTCTTTGCCCAGCTTTCAGTAATTTCAAGCAAACACTTTCATTAATTTATCTACATCTCCTTTTTTTCTTGCTAAGTAAAACAAACGGGAGTCTAATTTGTCTTCTTTA